ACGATTTAGGTCATTGGTGACTTTAAAGCACGATTCAATGATACTATATGTATTCAATGATACTAAAAGAGAGAAGTCAGAGATCAAGATGATAAGAATAAAATCAATACTGAGGAAATGGAGATGCTTTGTAGAAATTTGTGTAGTTATATGTTGTGTTTGAAGTTGTAGAGTCAAATGATAATTTGTACCGTGAACAGCTACCCGTTCGTTTCAAACAGTGTGGCTGTTTGGCTCTTGTCTGTGGCTTAAGGCCTGTTTGCTTTCAGGTTTATTATGTGGTTTTGCTGTCATATCCCAAAAGGAATTTCGATTAAATTTCAATGGCCTTTGAATTTACCTTAACTCCCCATTCAGGGAATGTTTCTAAATGGATAGCTTCAAATGATAAAGTAAATTAACAAAATTGATGTAATTGAACACTGTGCATGGTTGAGTTATGCTTCATTTAGTTCATGGACAGCCTTGTAGTTCCTTTATCTCCAGCCAAATTTGAAAAATTATGAATTTCTGAAATCATAAAAATAGAAATTTAGTTACTAAGCAAAAAGCTTTTTTTGCATTACTAGACATTGGATTATGGGGTACAAATGGACAAGCTGATATTTCGTTTGTTTTTCCTAAGATAAGCTAAAGTTCATGTGTTTTTTAAAAGACAGTTAAAATGTTAAAACACGGAATTACGATGTACATACATATTTTTTATAGGACAATTTTGGTAAAGAATAAAGAACAAGGTGTTATTATATCTTTTCATGCCTTTTCTTTGCTTTTGCCCCAACTTAGTTTAAAATAATCAATGTAAGATTTTAAACCTTTGTAAATTAATTGATTTTTTATTTTTTAGTCTTAAGTTTATACCTGAATTAGTTGAATTTTTTTAAAGTTTATACTTAAGTTCAGGCCAGGTGCGGTTGCTCACACCTGTCATCACAGCACTTTGGGAGGTCGAGGTGGGTGGATCACAAGGTCAGGAGTTCAAGAGCAGCCTGACTAGTTGGTGAAACCTCGTCTCTACTGAAAATACAAAAATTAGCCAGGCGTGGTGATGGGTGCTTGTAATCCCAGCTACTTGGGAGGCTGAGGCAGAGAATTGCTTGAACACGGGAGGCGGAGGTTGTAGTGAGCTGAGATCACGTCACTGCACTCCAGCCTAGGTGACAGAGTGAGACTCTGTCTCAGGGGAAG